ATGGTCATGGCAGCGCTCGGGGCCGCCGGCCGCCGCCGCTCTGATTGGTGGGGGCGGGGACGCGGCGCGGCAAGTGCGCGGCCATTACCCCCTGTGCGGCCGCAGCCCCGCCGCGCCCCTCGACCTGCCGCTCTCCGCGGCTGCGCTCCCCACCGCGCCGCTCCTCCGCTCCCTGCCCCCGCGGGGCGCACGGAGGCGGTGGGGAGGCTCCCTCCGGCAGGCCCCGGTGGAGACGTGTGCGGAGACCCAGGGGGCTGCGTCCTCCCTTCCTCCATCCCCCGGTGCTCCCCGCAGAGCCCGGTACGGAGCAGCAGCCGGGGCTGGTGCAGCTGAGCCGGGCGTGCTGGCAGTGGAAATGCTTTGTCTGAACTTCCTGTTTTCTTGCATGCACATGTGCAGGGTCTTTGCCAGGAACTCGCCATTCCCATGCTCCAGCAATAGCCACGGCCACCGTCTGAGTTGCTGAAAATTGCAATTCCCACAGGTTGGTTGGTCTGCAGAGAGATGGCCTCTGTTTGGAATGAACCACATATTTTTAAAAAGCTGTAACGTGTATCAGTTGATGGTGTGTAGACGAGAAAGGGTCAAGCTAATCAGCATTAACTGTACACACCAGGGCAAAACACCAAAAACTTGCGTGCTTATTCTGAACTACGGGATGACTGGTACTGAGCAAAGCGTTAGTGTAGAATATTGCCATTAAACTGGAAGCTTGCAGGCTTCTAGAGTTGATTTTCTTTGAGCCTTATCCCAGGCAAAAAAGTGGGTGCATGGGGAAGGAACCCCAGGATAAAACTCTTCAGTCAAGTGGTGCGTGCCTCAGCCTTTGCTGCTAGATTAGATGACGATCGCCTCCAGCACGGTAAACGGTCGCTGTTGTTAGGGAATTAAGGAAGAGACAGGCAGGTAAGGGAAGAAGCGATTCTCCTGCTCGCATTCCCCGGAGATCTCGGGTAGGAGCAGGATGGGTGTGTGCTCGGTGGCTCTCGGTGCCCAGCTCAGCTGGCAGGTTGGCGCTTTCACAACAGCGGTGTGCAAGGGCTGAGTTGGTCGTGCTGCCTTGTCCTTGCAGCCCTGCCGTGCTCAGCCTGGACGGGGCAGGTTGCTTGGTGTTCAGGTGGTGGTGGGCTTGTTGTCGTAGCTTCCGTGCATCATTCCCAGCGGGATGAACTCAGGACTGCGGGTTATCCTCTGGGATGCTGTTAGGAAGGGCTGTGCTCCTTGCTGTGCAGTGGTCAGTGTGCTCGTGTTCCTTCAGATGACAGTTTAAACACCAGGACAGAGATCTCCCTGCCTCTGCTGTCAAAGGAGAGGGGTTGTGGGGGATCTGCCTGCCCAACTTGATGGGTGATCCCTGTTTTACAGCCCAGATGAAAATTTTCTGGGTTTCTTGTTGTGTTGGGGAAGTGACATGCAAATACCTGGGTTTAGTGCATGGTTCTGATGCTGGGTCTACATTACTGCAGAACTGGATGCAATTTATTTTTTTTCCCTCCTTGAAAAATCTTCGCTGTTTGTATCTGCAAAGAAGAAAGTTGCTGCAAAGGGCTCCTTTTTGTTTCAGTTCATCTACAAAGATGCCTTCAGCTGAAAATCATGTTATGTAAGGCCTTTAGAAGAGGCTTATTCAGTCCCCTTTGGATATACCTTTTATTAGATTTTCCATTTGTGTGCCTGACTTCATATTGCACTCCCTTTACATAGGCAGCATTCCTACAGAAGCTGTGATCAGATGGGTGCCCTGAGAGGCAATTAGCGTGTGGGTGGGTGAGTGCACACCTCAGGAATGATCTTCTTGAAGGAATATGTTGTTCTGCAAGTGACATGCCTTACTGTTCAACCATGGCATATGTAAGTTGTTAATCAGCTGTTCCAGATTCTCATTCCTCCAGGAAGGACTGGGGAAAAAAAAAAATCATCCTTTTCTAAAATGTGTGTAAAATAAAATAAGGAGGTACTGCTGTGATGGGTTCATTGAGCCCTTCCAGCAATTTTAGGTGGAGTGTGGATGGAAGAATATGAATTAAAATGAGTTGCTGTTGTCTTGACTTTGGCTGCCATGGAGCCCCTGTCAGTACTAGTGCTGTGAGTCTTATAGCAGTGTCCCTGTGAGAGAAGTTGGCAAGGTTGAAGACTAGGAAGGGATATTTCCCCTTAAATTTTGGTCAGACTTCCACGCAGCTCCAAGTAGTTTTGAATGTTGGGTGGAGGCGATTAAAATTCAAGACAACTCTGCAACAACTGACTAAAAAAGCAAGACATTGGTGGTTTTTAAAGATCTGAGTTATCTTGTGACTAGTGGAACTGCTAAAACCTGGTTTCTTGCAGATTTTTCCTATATCCACTCTGCATAGAGGAAATGTTCCCCAGCTCCCTTACACATCCTTTCTCTCTTGGCCCATCAGCACG